AACCAGCTCCACAGGCGGCCCTGTCCAGGAAACACACAGCCAGGCAGACGAGCTCAGAGCCAGCTTTCATGTCAGAGGATGAAGGAGAGCAAACGCAGTTAGTCACAATCAGAGAAACAGGACTACACTGAAAAAACAGGCCAAGCTCCAACATTCATAAGCAAATGCCTTGAGGGAATCAGCACAGCTTCTGCTGTTAGCTTGCAGTAAGAGGTGGAGAAGTTGGCTCTGAATAGTGCATGTGGCCTGTCAATTTAGAAGGACACTCTGGTTTTACCACATGTGCTTACACTCTTCATTTTTAGAATTGAACAGTTCACTGTGAAATTGTGAACAAATCAGCCCTGAAAAGCGATTGGCTAATCAAATCAGATACATTCTTACATTTCTCAAAACTCTCACTTTTATTGGGTCCTTAAACACAACAGGAATTTGCTTTCACTTATAGGAAAATATCTGATGCGTAATCAAAAATAATCTTGTAATCCTTTCATTTTCTGTTGGATTCATAAACTCTATCGAGGAATCTCTGGAACGTTTCTATTTTCAGTTGATGCTCGTTTGATTTTAATGCAGAGCTGTGACTAAAAATGAATTTATGTGTGCCCCATGTTACTTTGAAAGAAACTCCGATTTATAATGCATTTATGTTGAGGCCTTATGTAATGTGTAATTAGCAGCTGTAATATGCTAGATGTTATGATCTGGACATATTCCGTGTTATAGCTGAAAGAATGCATAAATCCTTCACAGGCTTCATAGGATGGGCTTTGCTCAATTATTTATGAGACCCGGGGCTTCTTGATTTGGCACGTTAATGTCTGGAGGGGGTACCTCTGCACATACACCAGTCATTTCAGAAGCAATCTCTGTCATTTCACTCTGTATTTGTTTGCAGAGCTGATGAAATCAGAATGGGAAGTATAATGGTGGCTGTAACCCGCACACAGAGAATACTCCGTCATTTCTGTTTGTTTGCATTATGTGTGAAACACTTAAGCACTGAAGCTGACACTCTTCAATGGCTCCTGCTGTTCCCTGCTCCCTTCCCTTCGTACAATTCCTAATTTATTAATGTCCTGACCCAGAGCTAGCATCAGATCCCCTTCTAATCCACTAACATTTTTTAATCCCCCACAGTTCCCGTCTGTGCTGTTTAAAGGCCGTGTGACACTGTGCGAGGACCTGTGCTGCGAGGTGCTCAAATGCTGCGTATCCAAGCTCGCTGCCCTGAGGGCCGAGGCATCAGCGCTGCTGTATCTGCTGATGAGAAACAATTACGAGTACACAAAGAGAAAGACTTTCCTGCGCACACACCTGCAGGTAAAGAGGGGTGTGAGTTACAGGACAACACAGGAAACCACTCTGGATGGATCTTTTTGTGTGATCTCTTCTCTGAGAGACATGAGGAATGTGAAGTTTATACATCCTGCTTAGATTCTGGCTCTTCTGCTGTTGCAGTATTAACCAGATGTTCAGCTTTGCATGAACATCTTGATCCTACCAAAAAGTTAAAGTTAAAAGAAAATCCAAACCACCGGACTTTGAAGATTTTTCACTTCCCATCCAGGAAGCTTTCTCTGTAAAGCTACTCTATAAAAGCCTGGAACTCAATGCTATTCCAGACATTTTGAATTGAGAAAGCTTTCTGGATGGGAAGCGAAACATCTTCAAACTTGAAAAACAAAGTTCAGTGTTTTTTTTTTACTTTTTGCAATGACTATGACCTTGATGACGGAAAATCTCCACCAGCGCACATTGGTCCTACTTACTGCATTTCTAACGGGTTTTAAATCTCGTTTTTCATTTTCCTTTGTACCTTCCTCAGATTATCATCGCAGTGAGTCAGCTGATCTCTGACGTGGCGCTCACGGGCAGCTCCCGTTTCCAGGAGTCCCTTTCCATCATCAACAATTTTGCAAACAGCGATAAGGCCATGAAGGTAGAGGAAACGACCCAAGACTCAACATACATTTACAGAGATTACCTGTGTAGTAATCTGTCCATCCCATAAAAACAGAATTTTACTCAGACTTGTCGCTCTAATCCAAATCTTATTGTTCCCTCTGTCTTTACCCTTTGATCAAATCATCACTCTTCTCACTCAAATATAAAATGGCATGTTTTTGGTAGTCATTGAGAAGCTTATAGCATACTTCTTTTGTTGGCAGATGTGTTAGAGCTTGGTTGGCCTTCGGGCACAGATACTGTGATATGTGGGTTTGAGATTATTGTATTTGCACAGAGAGCCAGGCCTGAGTTATAACTATTAAACTACTTTGAAACATATGGAATTAGAGCTGGGCAAAGAAAAATAATGTGTGTGTGTAAATATATATTTATTGATTAGGGGTGGAACTGTTCACAAAATCCACGGTTCAGTTCGGTTCACGGTTTTGTGGTCACGGTTTTCGGTTCGGTTCGGTATATCTTGACTGTTAGCCTGACATGTTGGTCATGTTGCTGTAAGCATAAACAAAACATGTTGCACAATGCTTGCACACTGTTGCACTTTTATCCACAACTTTCTTTCCGCCGTCATCGTAGGTCACTCTAAATGCAAAGTTTTTTCTGCTACACCCGGCTACGCTGTTTCGCTTCTTCTTATTGTTTACTACTGATGGTTGGCTTAGGTCGCAGTACCGCTACCTGGAGTGTAAACGCTTCGCCTATGAGAAAAAGGAGCAGCGCATGAACCGAACGCAACACATGCAAATCGAACCGAGACAGTCGAACCAAACGGTACGGACGGTTTTCATAAACCGTTCCATCGCTAATATATATATATATATATTTCAGTATTTCTCCTGATACTGAAGAAAGTTCCATAAGGGCAAATATTCTTAGATATTGTTTAAAAAAAATCTATTTTTCTAATAAATAAAATTTAGGTTGCAAAAATCATGCACAGCAGGCCAGTTTAAGCCTTTAGGGGTGTTTTAACCCTTATAGTTGCTTGTTTGTTTTCTCAAGGACTTTGTCCTGTTTACACCATTTAACGTTTTTGTGACTCTGTTTTCTGAACTTATTCCAACCTCAAGTGTCCTTTAGGCATACTGCTGTGTATAGTCATATTAATATTAATGAAAAATAACAGAAGTAATGTGAATAAAATCAAGCAAAGGTTTCGGGATCTGCAGATCTCAACATCGGACACAAAGTGGGAAAAAAAATTGTTAATCTGTTTGTCCCTTATCTATAAACTGACCCATAGCATGATACTGCCTCCACAGTTTCTGACAGTGGATACAGTGCCCTTGGTTTAATCGATTCTCTCCTCCAAGCAAACGTCATGTCGCTGTGGTCAGAAAGCTCAGTAGTTTTTTTGTCTCATCTATCAGTTCTCTTTGAGATACATTTGGCAGAAATCAGTCAAGCAAATTTTCGAAGGGGTTTGTTTCTGTTTGCTTTATCCAGTCGGTTTCCAACCAAGAGTCTTAAAATTTCTGAGTAGAAGCTTTTTTTGCCATGTCTGGTTAAAGCATTCTTTTTTAAAACCTTTGGTATCGATAATTATGATTGATTGAAATAAGGAAAGGTTAAGCAGTTTTCTTTTTTCAATATTCGTTCTCTGCAGTCCACAGCATTCCCCTCAGAAGTAAAGGGTTTGACCATGCGGATACGGACGGTGCTGATGGCCACAGCTCAGATGAGAGAGCACGAGAAAGACCCCGAGATGCTTCTGGACCTCCAGTACAGCCTGGCCCGCTCCTACGCCAGCACGCCTGAGCTGCGACGCACCTGGCTGGACAGCATGGCCCGAGCACACCTGAAGAATGGAGACTTGTCTGAGGTATCAGCTGAGATGTTCAGAAAAAACATTTTCACTTTGTTTTCTCAGTTCTCCCTTTTACTGTAATTATCACTAATATCCCCTATTTGTTACTTCTGCCTCAAGGAAGCAATGCCCTCATTTTATTTTGATTAATTCAAATTCTTTCGAAGTCCACCCTCTTTAACAGAGGGGTTGGACTCAGATTTCAGCTTTCAAAAACCTACAATTTGGCCTATTTGGCCAGGCCAACAATTCCCTTTAACGACCCCTCTTTCAGAGACATAGACAGGTATGGGGCATTGCAGGCTAACAAAGAAGCCTAACGACCCCCATTCCAAAGGGGTGGACCCATTCATCCGTTTCAATTTGTATGTTGTTTTAGCAAAAACAAGGTTTTGTTGGCTACCGTATAAAGCAACTCGACGATATTTCTGACATTTTGAATTGAAAAAGCTTCCTGGATGGGAAGCGAAATGTCTTCAAACTTGGAAACAAAGTCCAAAAATTTGTTTTTTAATCTTTATGGAATGACTGACCTGGATAACTGAGAATGTTCACCATCATAAAATAATCTGCACTTGAATTCCTTTTATAGTGCACACTGTCCGTCAAGCAGCAATAACCTGAACAACAAACGAATGATTAGTACTGGTTAAGTCAAACACACGCCCTACGCAAATATCTACCCAGCATTCAGGATCCTCCTTCCAGTATAGTATGTTTAATGTATACGAGCTTCGTGGAAACATAATAAACATTGAATATTAAAAGCCGACACTATGGTTAATCTTCAAGTAGAATTAGTGTGAGATAAAAGGAATAACATAAAAAAAATAAAAGTTTATTTTCTTGCTCAACTCCTGAACAACTGTTTTACATGCCAATAGTGAGCAATGATTGTGGCAAAGCTCCTTTTTCTTGCCATTTCCTAACGATGAGCTTTGGAATTCGCTGTTACCCCCTGTACCCTCCTGTTTCATGTATTTAGGTCTCAATCTTGCCCCCATCACAAATTCAGTAGTTTTAAACTTTGTTGTTGTTGCTTTGGATCTGCATACCAGAAGAATTTTGTTTCTGGTATGCAGATTCATCTGTGTAATCTGAATAGCATTTTCTCTTGTCTCTCCTATTTTGACAGGTTGCCAATAGAAATGATATGGTACATCTATTTTTGTCTCCAAGGGAAAAAGGAAGTCAAGCATTACTAATTGAGTGCCTGATCTTTATGGAATGCAAGTAAAGGGCGGTACATTTCTCGGCCAAAAAAAATTAATAAAACAGAAAACATGTTGTAGATGATTGAGAAACAATTAAAGCTTTCAGTCCTATTTAAATTAGGTCTTTTGTTTAATTCTCACAATTTGTTACTGAAGTAAAAGGAAGTGAAAGTTGTGTATTTTGAGTTATTAATCATCACAATTGGGGCATCCTTCGATGATGCAGTTGTTAGCGCATACAACCCATGTATGTAGGCCTTACTCCTGAAAGCCAGTGACCCAGGTACAAATCCGGCCGGTGGTCCTTTCCTGCATGTCTCTCCCTCTCTCTCATACCCCCTTTCCTGTCATCTTTTGACCACAAAAACGATCCACGAAAACAAAACAAAAATTAATCATCACAATTAAAGAAAGAGAATAACAACAACATGGATAAATACAAATTCCTGTGAACATTACTTTGAAGGGGAATGTAAAAGGCACACAAGCTTAAAGTTAAAGGAAAACATGAAATAATGGTAAAAAAACAACAAAAAAACTGGAGACCTGTTGATGGGTGGTAATTTTGCCTCTTTCTCTCAACTTCAAGCCAAATTTGGACTGAATAAACACAATCATTTTAGATACCTACAGGTCAGGGCATATGTCAAAAAACACATGGCACTTTAGAGAATATACCACCCAATGAATTTGAAGAACTCTTTAAACTAGGTGGTGGGGAAGGAGATCTAATTTCCCAGATTTATAATGTGTTATTATCCAGATCTTCGCCATCCATGCACAGCCTTAGAACAGGTTGGGAGCGAGAATAAGGAATGAGAGTGTTTCTGTTTATTTATGCCACTTTTGTTTCGTTTTGAGTTTGCGTTGTCCTTATGCTTCATTTACACATGAAAAAGGAGGACAAATTAGTATTGTTGATGTTTGAATTTTTATGTCTGTTTCCTCAATAAAACTGTTTGAAACAAACAAAAAACAAACTGGAAAAACTGACACTATCAGCTTTCCTGTGTGGCAGATGGTATTCTTGAAAGCTGCTGCCATCAACTTCACATTGACTAGCTCTAAACAGCTGGATTTACCTCAACCAACTTCTCTGATTTGTTTCTAAACATCCTACACTGTTTAAGTTAACTGATGTTTTTTGGTTTCTTGTTTAAATTACATATAAAATTGCTTTCCGGAGGGTCATTCCAGATGTCTTTTCCTAATAATACCTTTTTTCAGTTATTTCTCGCTCTTTAAATATGCTTCAATGCAAACAAAACATCTCAAAATATTTGCATGCAAGTTTGGACATAACATACTAAATAACGACCCAATATCTCCCCCTGCAATTTGTTTTTAACATTTTACACTCCCAGTATAGCACTTGCTTTTAGGCTAATGTTACAAAAGCAAATTTGGAAATAGAAAATTTGTGCATGCTATGTAGATCAATTTTACGTGAGCCAACAAGTTTGCACATGCAGATATTTTAAATATTAGGACCAAAAGTATGACCTTCTTAAAAAAGTTGCTGCCATTTAGGGGTGAAACGATCAATCGGATTAATCATGATTAATCCGCTTATTGAATTTATCGTCAACTAATTTAGTAATCAATTAATTATTAGCTGGAGTATAGAGACTCTAAAACATGCTTTAAACTGACAGACTTTAGCACCCTTTTTGCCAAAATGTAACAAAAAATATGAAACATTTTACATTTAAGATAAAGAAAACTTTTTCGTCCGTCAATATGCTTTATCCAGATCTTCTCAAGTGGAAAAGTTTAAATTTCAACTGGTCTGATCGTGTAAACCGTCTTCTTTAAAGAACCTTTGGCTATCCGATTATTAATCGTTTGATTGAAAAAATAACCGACAGATTAATTGATTTGCAAAATAAACATTATTTGCAGCCCTACTGCCATTAAATATTAGCCCAATGATGCTAAAAATCCACTGATACAAGTTTTTTAAAGCAGACACCAATTATTTTAACATCAATCTAACCGATCCCCGATATATGCTGGTGGTATTTTGGGACTGATTCTTGGAGCTGATGTTTTTTTCCTTTTTTTCTTCATTCTTTTGCATGATAAAAATAGCACAATGATAAAAAATGTTATATAAATCTTGTTTGAAACAACACAAATCAAACATAACATTAAAAATCAAGGGAGTGGCTGCTGATTGCACAAATTAATCCTTAGTAGGTACCATCTGATGCAGGTATAAAGTTAAAAAAAAGCTGATATTGGCCGAAAATTTTTGCCAGCTGAAACCATTTGTTAATGCAGGATATTGTATGCATTTTAATAAGGGAAAAAAATTTGAATTATTTGAGGAAAAGGGAAATCTGTCTTCACATGAAACCTTTCTGGTATGACTGCATCATCAAGGCTGAATGACGTCCAAGTTCTGTAAATTCAAAAATAAAAGATTGCACCTGAGTGATTAAGGTAACAGAGATCTTTGCACGAATGGGAACAGAAAAATATCATCCATACCTGTTCTGTTCTAAACTTACAGGCATGACTTAACTTTTTATTCCTCTTCTAAAGAAGAGGTTATAAAAGAAACGCTTACAATGCATTCTTTTGAGCTGTCTCTGTGATTGTATTTAAGCAGTATTGTCAAGGTGTGTTACGTTTCATACTGTTAAGTCACTGCCTTGTTCCCGAGGCTCTATTCTGCTTTAAGTTCTGCCCTGAAAAAATTTGGACTGATCCATTTGGTTTGTGCCTTTCTCTCTGCAGGCTGCCATGTGCTACGTTCATGTGGCTGCACTTGTTGCGGAATATCTGCACAGGAAAAGTAAGTGGACCCAAATGCAACCTATCACTACCCAACACACTGGGGTGTAAATCACATCCATCATGGCGATTCGATTCAGTCTAGATTTCCTGACCCAACGATTCGATTATTTTCGATACTCAAGAATACACCACGATACGATTAGATTGGTTTTTTTACACCTTACAGGCTAGACAATGTTTCAAATTTAAAATAAATCAATGAAAGCTGTGATATCATTATGCAATTTTTTTGAGAAACAACAGCAAATAACAGAAGTAGAAAAGTTGTACTCCACCTATTCCTATTAAAACCTCATTCACTGAAAAATAATAATCCCCCTACGTTATAGATTCTGAAAGGCTTTGCATTAAAAATACTGCACAAAATCAGTGCAATGAGTGCAATTCAATACCTTGGCTCCAGACGTCCCGCTAGAAGAGCGAGGTGCGCGAGAACGCAGGGACCCTTTTTCCACCTGGATCTCCGCTCTTTTTGGACCTCATGTCCCTCCGTGGTCGGACTAAACTCGCCCCCACTTCCTCCCCACCTCGGCCGTATCTAGACTAGGGGTGGAACGGTTCACAAAATCCACGGTTCGGTTCACGGTTTCTTGGTCACGGTTTTTGGTTCGGTTCAGTATATGTTTATTGTTAGGAAAATCTATTATGTCTTGTATTGTACAACACATGTTGCACAATCCTTGCACACTGTTGCACTTTTATCCACAACTTTCTTTCCGCTGTCATCGTAGGTCACTCTAAATGCAAAGTGGTCCTATACAGCAGACCTACAAAGTGCTGCTGGCGCGTCTTCCAACTCCTGTTCTTTCCCACTCGCCATACCCACACAATTCTCCACAACAACAGATTTTTTTTCTGCTACACTCGGCTATGCTGCTTCGCTTCTTCTTCTTGTTTACTACTGGTGGTTGGCTTTGGTCGCAGTACCGCCACCTTCTGCTCTGGAGTGAACACGCTTCACCCATGAGAAAAAGGAGCAGCGCATGAACGCAACACACGAAAATCGAACCAAGACAGTCGAACTGAACGGTTTGGACGGTTTTCATAAACCGTCCCATCCCTAATCTAGACCCACCGCAGCATGGGAGGGAGAATTACGTCCAGGAGCAAATTGATACTCTTGCGGACGTATCGAGGCATCGGATCGTCAGCTGTTGGATCGATGCATCGATACAAAACGATTATTATTTACACCCCTACAACACACCGAAGTTTCCTGCAACACAAAATAATGTGGAGAACTAATAACAGATCTGCCTGGTTAAACTAATGCATGATGGTATTTTTCTGCAATGGTTTTGTTCAGTGATGGACTGTGTACTAATCTGCAGGCAGGCAAATAAGGCTTAACCATCATCGGTTGGTATTTACTGCTCAGGTCCTTCAGGAAAATATCATGTGGCATCAAAAGTCCTCACTGTTACCTGCTGCGTGCAGCATGCAAAAGAGACATCTAGGCAAAGCAGAGTCTCACAACTTAATTCTAACTCATGCAAATCTTGCCTTAAAATAATCCTATAAGCAAAAGTCAGGTTGTTATCTTTGAGCATTTAGCAGTGGGGGCGGGTTACATATCTCTAAAGAATCGGGTGTGTCTCAGAGGAATGGTTTCTTTCAAATGACAACATAAATGTCACGCGTTGTTTTGTGCTGTGTGTCTTCAAGCGAAATAAATTCCTTTCTCAATTGTCCCAACATGCAGCGTGATAAAAAAAAGAAAAGGAGGATGCATTATTTTTAGTCATTGATATAAGCTATTGATTGAGTTTGGAATGTTTCATTGTCATTTCTGCTCTTTATTGATCAGAGTTGTTCCCTTGCGGTCTGGCTGCTTTTAAGAAGGTCACCTCTAACATCGACGAGGAAGCTGCAATGAAAGAGGACACAGGAATGCAGGACGTCTACTACACTGAGGTTTGAACTGCTTACTGCTTGGTGGTGATAAATGTTTTTTTTTTAGTTTAGGTTAAAGGAGAGTTTAAGGAAGTAGGTGAAAGTAAAAGTGTTTTTGCTTTTTTGCTTAAATTGGATCTGCTCCTCCCTATATCCTTTTCTCAGGAAGTCTTGGTGGAGCACCTTGAAGTCTGTGTGGAGGCCTTGTGGAAAGCCGAACGCTACGAGCTCATCACGCACATCGCCAAGCTTATAATCCCCATCTATGAGAAACGTCATGAGTATGAAGTACGAGAGTATCCTCCCTGCTCCCTCGTGTAAAGCTCCACTTAGTGGAGAATGATAAGGCTTTGTTTCATCAACCTGACAGAGACTTTTTTTGATGGTGGAAACTTGAGCATTCCTTCCAATGAGCCATTTCACAACCTGCTTGACTAGTTCTGAGTCATGAGGGCCATGACAGTCTATTTTACACAATGCTGATGTCTCTCTGCTATAATTGAGGGACTTGTTTGTCCACAACTGCAAGGCAGTGCTTCAAAAACATCTTTATAAAGCAGGTATGATGAGTGCTGAGACTTTGCTACCAAAGTCTGCTTGTTTACGCCTGTGGTGCGTAGCGATCACTTGTCCAATCTTCATTAAAAACAGCAGCTTATTTTGCAGGATGTCTTCACTGTCCCTTGTTTTGTCTCCATATCACCTGAACACGTCACCCTATAAAACATGTGCAATCTGGACTATTTCTGTAACACTGGTTGGATAATTTTATAATTTTTGGATAACATTAAATCAGGTTGAGGTCAGGGGTTTTGGGAAGGGAAATTGTAGAAGCCCTTAACTCATTTTAAAATTACATTTCAATGTGTGTTTAAATTTCGTCTCTTTCCTCAAGATTTTGTTTTTCTACAGAAAGTATTTGACTTCCCAATATTGCAAAAAATTTGCAAAAAAATTCCGTAGCTGGAACATCGGCGGTAAAAGATAGAATTTCATAAAAAAAGAAAAAAGAAAATGCAGCTCAAACTTAAATGAGTCAATTGGTAAAAATTTGTTGAATCAAGTTGATCCAAATTAATTTGTTAAGTTTATAAGTTGAAAACTTGAGTAAGTTAAGTTTGAAAAACTTGTTACCAATCAAAGCAATTCAGTTAAGGTGGTGATGCATTGTCTTTTTAGAGTGCATGGATGTGCCAACATTTTTATTAATTGAATCAAAACAAAAATGAGATGCCTTGAGATTACATGTGTTGTGAATTGGGGCTATAGAAATAAACTGAATTGAATTGAATTGAATCTAGATTAATACCAAGATTACAGTGAGATTAATCTAGATTAAAAAAAATCAGTGCCCACAACTAGTAAATACCATTAATTTAAAAAATTTTGATTTATTTGTAGATTGTTTATGTTTGTTTTGAGTTCAGGAGACATTGACGGTGTTGGTTTTTTTATTACATTTTTATTACTTAATGCTTTTATCTTATCAGCCAGTCCTTTCCTTATCTAATGTAAAGCCTCTTGTTTGCCCATTATATGTGACAAGGGCTGCACTGAACTTCCATATCAGTGCCTTTTACACCATGTTTTCCTCCCACGCTGTTTACATTTGATTACTGCTGTACTTTATGAAACTGAAATCTTCATTTCACTGCTAAGCTGCTGCTGATTTACTGTCTGAAAGCTGTACAAAACCAAATTTCTTTTTCTATAACACCTGTGTATACAAAATGCTCATCTGTATAAAAAATGTGACAATAAAAGTTGTCTAAGTCTAAGACATAAATGGCAAAAAATAGCTCACAACCAAGATGGGCTAATAACCTCTTCTTGTTCTTTCAGAAACTGAGTCGGCTGTATGACACTCTTCACAGAGCCTACAACAAAATCATGGAGGTGATCCAATCGGGCCGAAGGCTGCTTGGGACATATTTCCGAGTTGCTTTTTATGGGCAGGTGGGTTCAATGTGCTGCTCTTCAGAGACTGTTAATCCCAGTGAAAAGATTAACCCTGCATGCTCTGGAATGAACTGAGAAAGTGCAGTAGAAAAAAATGACTGAATTCAGATCGTGAATTATTGCTGTGTTTAAAAAAAAAAAAAAATCTCTTGATTTGAAATTCTAAATCTTTTACCGTTTTTGGTTATTTTCCTAAATGTCTCAAAGTTTAACAAAGTCTGAATTATGGTGATCTGGTTTTGTAATCTTGTTCACAACATGTGAGGGTGCAGATGCATTTAAGGCAATCAGGAAGAGAACTAAGAATCATCATCTGGTTAATTTTCAGATATCTGAAGATAACCAAATGATATGTTCAAGCTGTCATAAGCTAGTATAAACTACATGAACATGTACTGTCAGGGATATTGACGTGTGAAAAATGTGTGCATCATCTTCAGAGTAAAGATAAAAGATCTAGAGAAGATTATGGGGAAAGTATGGATAAACCTGAACTGAGGTGCACTAATTGGCCTCTCAGAGGAAATTATCCCATCACTCTGCTTGAAGGAGAGTAGCAGTCCTGAGGGTCTGAGTTCGAGCACCACTCCCACAGACTGCCACTCTGAGTCCCTGAGTACAACCCTTAATTCCCCATTACTCCCCAGGCGCTCTATGATGGCAGCCCACTGCTCCCCAAGGGGATGGGTTAAATGCAGAAATACATTTCTCCAATGTGAGATCAATAAAGTTCAAAAATCAAGTTCACTCCAAAAGCATAAATAGATCAAATCACAGTTCACAAGTGCATCCAGGAACAAAGATCCCAGTCTTTGGATTAATGTCCTGCAATCTGATGAAACATAAATGTTGTTTTAGTTTAGATGACCTTCCTTATATTATAAAGCATGGTGATGGTGCTATCATGTAAAGTGGGTGTTTTGCTGCAGGAAGGACTGGTGCGCTTCACAAAACAGAACATAAGGTAAAATATCTTAAGACATCTGCTTGGACAGAAATGGCTTTTCAAATTAGAAGTACTTGATCACAAGTAGATGGGCTAGAAACTAGTTATATTTGGGTAACTTACAAAATAGATTTTTTTTAAAGTAGTTTTTCTACATTTAAATTACTATTCTTACTAGAGTAAAATTTTGGGCTGCTCTAGCCACCATTAATAGCTTTACTCAAAGATAATCTTGTTTTTAACACAAATTCATAACAGAGACACAAACCTACCATTTTATTTTTAAGTGAGACTTCTGCTAATTAGGCCCAGTCAGTTAGAATGAACACACACTTAACAATATACTACATTGTGTTGATGTATGTAACTTACCTGATAATTATTTATTCATACTTTTTCATAATAAAATCATATTAAATATTTTCTAGAAAATTATTCTTCCATCTAAATCAGTTATTGAGTAATTACTAGTGTTGCGCAGATGCCATTTTTTGGCCCCGATACCCGGCTGTGCAGTATTGGCTGATACCGATACCATATCGATAGCCTGGGTGCCATTCCGAACTTAGTCCCGCCCACAAGGTTTGAGGTCGGGAAATTCGGTCTGGCACTCCGTTGCTCTTATTGGTTGTAGGTCTATCTAATTGAGTGCAGAGGCATTTTTTTCCTGGTTCGTTCAAAACACGCCCCATAATCACAGCTCTATGGAGCAGCATCAGACTCATATTCTGACTAGAATATGAGTCGGACTACGTCAGGCTACCATATCGATACCATCTGTTTGAAATTGATGTGTGTGTGTATATGAAGAACTGCATACTACTTGGATGTAAAATAAATGCCATCATGGTTTTGTCAAGCTGCTGCCTACCTTTGTGAAGCAGGAAAAAGACTAATACAAAGTGAATCCAGTAGATTTTATTGCCTACCTGGAGTGGGTGACAATAGTTGAAAAAACTTATGGCTCTCAAAATGGTATCAGTGCAATATTTGTTGGTACTCGCCAATACCGATACCAGCATTTTAGTGCTGGATCGGGGCCCCGCCTGATACTGGTATCAGTATCAGTGCAACACTAATATTTACTGTATCAGATATATAACATTTTTTTTTTTATCTCTTTCTTTCATAGACCATCATTTGCTCATGACTTTGTTTTTTTCAACTTAACATAACTTTTAGATGACAGATATTTAGATGCTATGGTCACCAATACCAAGTAAGATGCGTTACTCTGGAAATCAGTAGTCTTTTTACTAAATTCTCTTTGTTTGTTTTTTTATCGGAGACATATCTTGGATGGCTATTTTTTCCTTTTTCTTAAGCAAACATGAGATGAAATGTGCCACTCTAGCTTGCAGGGTGGTGTTTCATCAGGTGGACATTTTTTTCCCCCATTTCTTGCAGCAGATTTCTTAGATGACATTTTGTAGTACTGTGATAGTTTCATTGAAAAGTCAACTCACTAAACCCACCAGGCTACATAAGGATAATTACACACAGTGACAAAAATTAGGAAATTATATAAAGTGTATAAAGTACACATTTAGATTAATGAATAACTATTGGTTATAGGTATTGAACCCCACCTCAAGGTTATTACTGGATTTTGGCCTGCTTAATGCAAAAGAAAAAGAAAAATGTAAACTAAATTTGACCTTCCATGTTTCTCCTGTAAGAAACTGGAAAGAACTGTTTCTTACAGACGGAAAAAACATGGAAAAATTCTAGAAAAAACGCTATCTGGAAGAAACTTCGAAGCCTGCTTGCTTAAAGGTATTAAAGAGGCGTTTTCTCAGAAATTAATTGTCCAGATTCATTCAAAATGAATTCATTGATGGATGGCATTCTTGTACTGTTTGGCTAGCGGTCCGGCATTAATCCAAAGAACAAAGAAGTACTTTTGTTTTTAGCTATTTGTTCACACCATTGTGTAAACTGGAGCATCAATGGCCGAAAAGAATCCTGACAAACCTGACCTAATGAAAGTCTTTTTTTCTATGTAGTTAAAAAGAGGAGAGAAAGTGGGAGAGAACGGAGCCGACTAAGTGTTTAGGAAGTTCTTTTCAGAGATGGCCCTGAAGGGTCGCAAAACTTCTGCTGGACAGGTGGATTTCGTTTAATTACTGTATTTTTTAATTATGAAACATGCAGCATCAAGAACACACCAATAAATTGTAAATACAACTTGCAATGAAATATGCGCCAGAGACCTCTTCTTCTTATAGAGATATCCTGCCGACTAGATGCATCCTGGCACTCTCTAGGTGACATACAAAATTAGCGGCAGAGACGTTTGCAATGTAGAGAACTTCTGCAACAGCCGTCTGACATATCTTCCACCCACGAAACCTCTTTCCTCCCTTTAAGTACAATTTTTGGCTGCTCTTCCCAGCCTCTGGCAACAGGGTAATTTTTACAGAGTGGCAATATTGCAGAAGAGTTTTTTATTAGATATATCTTTAAGATGTTTAGCTTGTAAAATATGTTTTACATTCTACAGCTGAGCTCACCTCTTGCATCCTTTTGTCAACACTTGTTCTCTTGGACAGGGCTTCTTTGAGGAAGAGGATGGAAAGGAGTACATCTACAAAGAGCCCAAACTCACCGGCCTTTCAGAGATCTCACAGCGGCTGCTAACCCTCTACGGGGACAAGTTTGGTCAAGAAAACGTCAAAATCATCCAAGACTCAAACAAGGTGCAGCCAGAAAACACATGAAACCAGCATGGGGGTTGGTGGGGAGTTTTAACTTGAATTGGCAAGTTGTGTTATGAGATGAAACAAAGCCAGAAATGTTAATAATATATCTGACATTTCAGTCATGTAGACTTTTATTGTAGACAAGTTTATTCTTCTCTAGAGATGCTTTAAAGATTCTGTTGCTTTTGGATCCTCCCTCTGTGGCTTACCTTCATCAAGTACATTCTTTGAGCATTCTTCTATGTCCACATTTTATTTCTTGCTTTTTTTTCTTTCTTCTTAGGTGAACCCCAAAGAGCTGGACTCCAGGTTCGCCTATGTCCAGGTGACATTCGTCAAGCCCTACTTCGATGAGAAGGAGGCACCAGAGAAGAAGACAGACTTTGAGAAGTGCCACAACATCAATCGCTTTGTGTTCGAGACACCGTACACGCTTTCGGGAAAGAAACATGGTGGCGTAGAGGAGCAATGCAAAAGGAGGATCATCCTCACAAGTAAGTCAGACAAACAAAAACATTCATGTTTTCTCTCACTTTATCAAGCTATAAATATGGAGCGACAGTGGAGAAATTTAGGAGTTTGCCCTGAAATCAAAGGGTTGTTGGTTTAAGCCAAGTGTCCTTGGGCAAGACACTTCACCTTCTCATTGTCTACTGATGGTGGTCAGGAGGCCCGGTGGCACCAGTGTAAAGCAACCTTGCTTCTGTCAGTGAGCTGTGGCTACAATGTAGATTGCCGCCATCAGTGTGTGAATGGATGAATGACTGAATGTAGCGCTTTAGTCAAATCTCCTGACTTGAAAAAGCGCTAATTAAGTAAAGGCCATTTACCAAAAAATAATGAATGCTGTTTTGTGTGGACATCTTAAAAGTTTAGCGTGCATTTTGCATTCAGCCTTCTTTACTCTGAAATAACATAATATGGCAGGGTCCACCTCTTTGTACTTAAAATCGTAGGGAAGTCATATTTAAATGTCAAATCATTCTGGCTTAAACATGTTTATAAATGCACTCTTTATCAGACTATAGTCTCCCAAAATTTATAAAATAAAAAAATTAAAAATTCCCATCTTAAAATATGTTTTTTTTTTTTTGTTATCTTATGCAGACCAGTTAGTTATACGTCAGCTTGTGCACCTAAATTCGTCCAATCATATATCAACGGTCATCTGTCAATCCAATTTTTTCTCCGTCACAACATCTTGATTCATATGTCGCATGTAATATACGCAATGGTTGAAATAAGTAATAAGAATAATTTACTTTACCATTGAGTTCCGTCCCAGTGTTCACGGGGATGGACGTCTGTGTCTATGGCAGGCGTAGAGCTAGCAGAACTGGCAGCGTTCCGAGACAAGGGCTCAAACATGTACGGTTTCTACAAGTTTCTACACTAAACGAAGCTTCTGCCGCCCTGGCGTCCTCTTCCACAACATCTTCGTCCCCGCTTTCCTCCTCTAAATAAAAAGTGAATGACAGAGGAGACTCATCCACGACATCCGACACAAAACTCTCCTCCTCTTGCAAGTTTCTGCTGTCCATAGCGTTCTTTGACAGTGTCATTTCTAAGTGCTAATTGGTCCCAATGGAATTTCCCATTGGGAACCTACTTTTCTAGCACTAAGTTGCTAACTGGTTAGCAAGATGCTTCAGAGACACCGGCCACAGCCAAACTTGCTTGCAAACCCTCCAGCACAACAATCTTGCCCCCTTGATAAATGACCGATCACATTCAATTTATTCACTTATGTAAAGTCAGGAACCTCTCGGGAGAATTCAGAAATGCAACGGTTAGAGCAGCCGTTTTCAGACGACTTTACAGAGACATTATGTAAGTTTCTCTACTAATTGTTGATTCATGGGGGCCGAACACAGACATGAGAAACACATTCAATCTTCAGAAGGCTTTGTTTTTTTTCTTCCTTTTCACGTGGTACATTGTTTATTACAAATAATCCTTTTAAAATACTTTGTTTGCAATATGACTAAAGGCAGGGCTTGATGTTAACCATCGCCCGGGGCAAGTAGTTTTTATTGTCGGAAGAGTACAAATTTCATTGCGCATGATCAAGGCGCGTGATTTGAAAAATCCTGGTGACTTTCCGCCAGATGGCGTGATTTTTGTCCACCTAGCGGTAATTTTGATGTAGTTACCAAAACGACAAACAAGCTAGAAAGCGCTATCATATGGCAGTCTTCTGTACAGTGATGCAGGTCATACATTAAAAAATGTTCATTACATTTTTTTCTCCTAGACATTGGAGAGGTGCATTTAAATTTTATAGAGCTAAACATGTTAAATTGGTGACCTGTTATTATTATTGTCTTGTTGCTGCATTTATTTTGTCACGGAAAACTAATCCTGAGTCAGGTAAAAGTCAGGGAATTCTGAAATTATGTAAGACTGTGGAAACCCTGTATAAAATAACTATGTATAATGATTCTCTAGAAAAGTCACATTATATTAATAGTATTATCTTGTATAAACATACCGTGACTCTAAAATAAAATAAAAATAATACAATAAATAGTTATTAATTTGTGACATTGAGTTCTATCTTGTGATTTTTTTTTTAGATTTTTAACATTACAATTTATATTTTTCCACGCACACAAAAGTTTAAAGCAAAGTTTAGTTTGAAAAGAATGTGCAGGAAGGATTGAAAAGCATGTTAACACGGTTATGTAAGCTTGAGTTCATTATCTGACGCATGCATATACACACCAGGAACCTGGAAACTTAAAAAAAACTGAATTACAAAAAACATTTAAAAAACAAACATTTTTCCTTGATATATATATATATATATATATATATATATATATATATATATATATATATATATACAAAAATATTAGGAACTACCGGTATATTTATCAAACATTATACTGGGCAAGTAAAAATTGTTTCTGGGCAAATGAAATGTGAAAGTCACTTGCCCTTTGGGCAAGTGGTAAAAATCCTTAAAGTAAACCCCTGACTAAAGGTATGAAAGTTCCAGAAGGTCCAATGCTTTAGTAGGTGGTGCTGTAGTTTAGAGCAGTGTTTCCCAACTGGGGGCACTTGTACCCCTAGTGGTCCACTAGTGCATTGCACGCGGTACATGAAAATATGAATATATATTTCTTAGATAATAAAATAAATAATTTTGCTTTTTGATTAAAAATTTAAACAAGCTTTTATCAACCAAAAAATAGGTTTTTCTTATATGTTTGAGTTCACCTCAGCTTTAAAACAAATCCAGACCAAGCAGAGGAACAGACTGGATGTAGAGAAGTCTGGGATCAGCTGTTTTCCCGCAGAGCTATCAGAGCTCATCAAAGCAGCTGAGGTGAAAAGTGATGAATAGTAAAACTAATCAGGGGGTATTCATGGTGAGACAAAATGCCCACGGGTGTACGTACACAATTCAAAAAAGCTTTGTAAACACTGGTTTGGATCTGTGGTGCTGTGTTAAAAACAGTTGGTATTTTCTCTCCGGGCGCATCAGATAGGCTTGCAGCGCATCAATAATGCATTTGTTTTTGTTGTTATTGAGATGATAAGAAAACTGAATCCAAGAATCCTCCCAATCCATTTTCTATCAGAAACATTGCCTGTGATCTGTGTTCTTGTGAACAGATCCACAGTTAAACATTATCATTAACAGCTGAGGCACACAGCAGCCAGAGCTGTTTAGATCCATCCATTTCTGCCTGATTCAAGTCGGCCAAGTTATCTCGTGCAAACGGAACACCCTGCAACACTTAAACTTTTTGTTGTTGTGTGTTTTTTTTCTTACACCGGCACGCCTTCTGTTTGCACTCTCACTGCTGGAGGCTCATTGATACAGCCTCTGGCTGTTTATCATAACCACCTGAGTTATCAGCTGGAAAATGCTTCTTTTGTTTATGCATTTTGTTTTTGCTTTTTGGCCATGTCGTATTTGCATGCATGACTCAACGTGGCTCGGTTTTGCTCTCATCTTTAGCTGTCAACACTTTCCCGTACGTGAAGAAGCGCATCGAGGTGGCGGGGGAGAGGCAGGTGGAGCTGAAGCCCGTAGACGTAGCCATCGATGAGATGAAGGCGCGGACAGCGGAGCTGACCAAGCTGTGCTCCAGCCAGGAAGTGGACATGATCCAGCTGCAGCTCAAGCTGCAGGGCTGTGTCTCCGTCCAGGTAGATTGTTCAAGTCCAGCAGAACAGACAGACGGGGCTTCAAATCCTTGAATTTCCATATATGATAGCGCCATCTTAGAGCCTATTTTGTAACCCAGAAACATTCTCAATTCTCTGTTTTATTTAAGCACCCATGAATCATTGTTAACATACAGAGAGACTGTTCAGACAGTGGACAGATGACAGCTCAACAGTTTCTAACACCTTTTTTTCCGCCCCTGCAGGTGAACGCAGGCCCCATGGCGTATGCCAGGGCGTTCCTGGATGAGAGCAAATCCAACTCATCCGGCAGTAAGAAAGTCAAAGAGCTTAAGGAGGTTTTCAGGTAGATTATTACGCTGAAAATAATATATATATATATATATTTTTTTTTGATTTGGCGAAATGTCATTTTTTTTATTTTTCTGGGCAGACGTTTTGTCGAAGCGTGCAGCGTGGCGCTAGACATTAACGAAAGAATCATTAAGGAGGACCAGTTCGAGTATCACGAGGGCCTGAAGTCTAACTTCAAGGATATGGTGAAAGAACTGTCTGACATCATCCATGAACAGGTTTGTTAAACCCCTGATCAATGACTGATGCAACGAGGAGATAATCAGATGTAGAAGCTGAAAAATTGTAACCTGTGAAAAGAAAGAAAGTGGGGATCAGTCAATAAAATAAAAAGATTTATATAAAACCAGCTTACATCCAGATGGAAAGGTTTTCCATTTTAAAGGAAGCAATGTGCTCTCCTAATTTTCAGGGTTTTCCCTCGATTTCCCCGACACACATTGATTAGGGATATTTAAAGCAACACTGTGTAGCTTTTGACCCAAGTCGCGGCTTAATCTGGGATATATTAAATTATTTTTAGGTCAATTATTGGACACTCAGATGATATCGATGCTCCATGCAGGCTATGTTTCTCAAAAACCGCAGTATGTAACATGAGAGAGGGCAGATCTGTCACTAAAGAGATCTTGTGACCTTTTCCAGTAGTCTGAGCTTCCTCTAAACATGAGAGCTAAATAAACTCTAAGAATTCCATCTAGAGGAGTGAATCTAGCTTAATCTTTACAAACCACTCCCTGATCTCTTAATCTGCTGTTCTAAATTGGTCTGCTTTTAAAGTCCCAAACATAAAGGGAGACTGTTTCATGTTGTCTTAAAGGTATACTGGAGGATTTTCATGAATTTCTGAAAAGACCCGACCTCTCCACTTAAAAAAAAATGCACATGCACAACCTTGTACCCTCTCCCAAGAGGGAACGCCTATTAAACGTATGTGAGAGCATGAACTAGCCCATTTCTCCTCGTGCAGACTCTTTTTATTAGTTGCTCTTTGCATCGATCATGCAAACTTACTTTCCAAAAGAAGATTTGCAATTATTTTACTATATCAGACTCACCACCGGTGTTATGTTGAGAACAACCTGCCCTCTCGCACACTGAGTAGAAAATGTATTGAAATATGAATGAAAAGAGAACTTTTAAACATATTCTTAATGTTTTATATTTCTTATGCATGGATGCCTTGAAATTGAGAGCTTTTGTGGGCAGATAAATGCAGAGAAATTGCTGCCTGCAGAGTATTTTCTCCCCTGTCGCAGGAGCGTGCATAGCTCTAAACTCTCGGACATTTATGAAAAAACGGATTGAAATTTGAACGAATAGGGAAATTTTAGATATATTCTTAATATTTTGTCAGAAATTATATAGAACGGTGTTGATAGCAAAAGCAGAAAATGCCGTCCACTGAGCGGAGTATATATTCATCAGACACTGACCTTGGCATATCGACTAAAACGTGTCTCCATACAAGTGAAAATTGTATTCATTCAAATTTATCTGTCCACCAAAACTCAATTTTAGGGCATCCATACATAAGATAAATGAAAACATTCAGAATATGTTTAAAAGTTCTCTTTTTGTTCCTATTTCAATCTGCTTTCTTCATCAGTGTGCAAGAGCGGACGTAATTCTTGGCAGGCAGGTATTTCTCGCTGGTAAGTGAAAATGGGGACACATTTTGGGGACACATCCCCAGAATGATTCGCAATTAGGACGACCACTTATTTAGATGATCCACCTGGAAAAAGAACATCCTCCACTATACCTTTAACGATGCATTGTGTTGCTTTAATATTGATTTGAAAATACTTCCAACGGGACAGAATATTTCAATTAGGAACATCTAAACCTTAAATTCTAAAATATAACTCAGTTTTCTTTGGAATAAGGTTATTTTGCCTTGATTTGAGCCTGTAAAACCATTTGCCAATGGAATAACTAGATGTACATTTAAGATAAGAAAAGTACAACTCCATGAGCCTATTTTAGGTCCAATAATCTAATCTTATTTAAGGGCAAAAAGTACTCATCCCATTGACAGATCAGCTTATTTTCTGCTTAAGTTAAGGACAGTTCTGCCTTCAAGAAATAGTTAAGGTATGTGTAACTGATCTCTTAATCCTTAGGATTAACAGATGACAGGTACTAGGACCGGTCCCTTTCTTTCTAAAGAAAAGCAGATGGAAACATTTGAAGTTTAATTAGAAAGTTTTCACATTTTTTTGCACTGCTATAAATAGCATGTGTTTATAACAGAAATCCTGTGTTTATAAATCAATTAAACCCAGTGATAATGCTCCACAGGCCTAAACCAGAACACTATCATTTCCATCTGCTCTAACGGCTCCAAACAAATTTGTGTGCAGGTTTGTGTGCTGATACTTAAAAAAAGGAAGACCAATCTCACTTCTGTGGACTAAACCCACGTTTCAAACGAACATGCAAAGTCACAATAATCACAGTCGGTATCTTCGACTGTTATCTGGTGCGTTTTGCAAGTCTAGCTGGGCCTAAATGACAAGCAAACATGTGGGATCAGATAATAATCAGCGCAGTTTAAACTGAGCCATATCTACATTTAGACACCTTGGGAAAATAATTTTCCCAACTCAGTCATTCACCTTTTTGTGAATATTTGCTTCCATCTCATGATTTATCACTCTGCAACCGCAAGTTGCAATGTTTGAAAGGGTATTATGAGATTTCTAGGTGTTTTAATGGATTAAAAATATTCAATTTGTGCGAAATTTTATATTCAGCCCCCTAAATCAAACCTAAGCTTTTAACGTGTGAAGATAAAACGATGTTCTTAACAAATGAACATGTAAAGTAGTTTCCTACAGACTGTGATGTGGGTTTAGATCTGGACTTGAACGAGGCCATGCTAACATAAACTATGCTGGGATGAAAACTATTTCTTTTTTCTCCTGTTGAGGATGGCTGTTCTGTTTTCTAAACCACTGGTGTCAAACTCCAGTCCTAGAGTCTCACACCTTTTAGATTCCTTCTGCTTTTAACTCACTTAGATGCCGACAGAGGAGGTAATTCGACCTTTTCACAGACGCATCAAAGGTTCAGTCTGGCCCAATTCCGCTTTGAAAACCAACCCACATCATGATGTTGCCAATCACATGAGCATAACGTGTTTATCATGCTAACCCTACATATTGTTTTGCTTGTGGGCCAAAAAATGTAACTTGGTTCTTGTTTTAGCAGAGACACTTCCACCTTTGCCATGGCAAACAGGAGAAGCTTTTAGACTCTCATGCAGGCCACACTTGTTTAATGAACATTGCTCCATGAGATGTTTATACCATAGAACATTGGGCTGTAAACTAACCATCTGTTTAGCTTCTCCTCAACCCTCCCTGACCTGTTTCAGAAGGACACACTTCTGAAGGTTGCAGATTATTTTATTTAGAGGTATCAGAGGTAAGGGGGCTGAAAACAGAAACATCCCAAAATCCTAAAAAAAATATCTCCTGTGGCACTTTAGCTTTAACTTTGTGTTGAACTGTGTAACACAATCGGACTAAAATACATTTAACCCTGATGAAATGCACAAAGGAGACCCTCTGATGTAAAGATCGGACATCTCTGCTGGCCTGCCATGTTCTAGCTGGAGCTTAATGTTTGACGGGAGTCATAATCGCACTCCAAGTGACTCATAATGACTCGCAACGGGAATCTTTATTCAATGAACATCCAGGAATTATTGAAAACTGAATTTCCTCTCTGCCGCTTCCTGGAAACTAAATAATTCTCTTCATCATATCAGATGGCTTGCAAAATGTCCGCTTTTGTACTTAAACTCCTGACGAGAAGGATAACACTAATGAGGAGCAAGGATGTAAGAAAAGAGAAAACTCAGATTGTCACCTTGTATAGCTTGTTTTTCTTTTCTTTTTTGTTCTCTGTGGGGGTTTATTTTGTGATCCCCTTCTCACTAACTAGTCTTCTTTCTTCTTTCCAACGTGCTGGCCTTTAGCTTTAAGGAAGAGCAGGTAATGAGTGTTTTACTGTTTCATCATTTCATTTCAACACCAGCTTTCATTTTGATGTTAGCACCACTTCAATCCCCTTTTTTTTATGAATCCAGACATGTTTCTTATGAAATGTGTTTAACCTTGCTAGAGATATTTTAAGGCAGTACAGTAGTGGTTGATCTTGCAGGAAAGAGATAGAGCTCAGCTGTTTTTAATGCCTCCATGTGGAACGAGCTGTACAGAAGATGGAAAGTTGTTTTGCCTTGCTCGGCATCCATTTCGTTTTCTCCCACACTTGCTCATTCCACCAAGTGAAAGGAGCAAACAGCGACTGCGACAGCGGCGATGCAAGGAGTGAGGAAAACAAAAAAAGAAAATAAGGATGCAAACGAGACACATTTAATCAAATCATCATAACATTTGCGTTAATAATTTGTGTTACGGAACATGGTTAAAACATTTCCATATCCACTAACATACGCAAGAGACAACATGTCTTCTTTATTAAAGGTCTGATCTCAGCTTTACATTCCAAACCAAAGTAGTCTGCCTGTAAACACGACACCTGGACCGTTGCCACCTATCGCCTCCTGTCACGCAACTGTACTAGCAGAACCTGTCTCCTCTTGAGCATCTGGGTTGCTTAACAGTCTTTGAGATGACAAACGAAAAGGTTTAATTGGGCAACAAGCAATCAAATTTACCCTTTTAGTGTAGAATATCTAGTCTAGAATCTAGATTGTAGTTTTCTGAATGAGATACGGCTGCATCACTGTAAGCTATTTGACCCCCCCTTTTTTCTTGTTTTGTTTTCACCTTCCTTATGTTACCCTGTGTTGAAATTTGAGGCACTGCATGAATTACTACAGAAATGCATACAGTATCTGGTACCACTACTAAGATATTTAATTACTTATTAACCCCGAGGGTACTAAGTGAAAAACTGTTGAGCTTTGATCACTGCACACTAAAAGCAATTAATCAAAAAATATGTTAAGATAAGGTTTATTGAAATTGTGAAAATCACAATATATTTACTTCCTTATAGTTGTTTTTTTGTATTTCAGCGGAAATGCCAAGCCTTTAAAAGCTAATGGCACAGTTAGAAATGCTCCTTTGTTTTTGTGTTCTATGAATATAGGATGACACGGATGGTTGTTAAGGAGTGATTCCATATTTTTGTGCAAGGATTACTTGCTTTTCTGCTGAAAAATGTGCTTTGGTCTTATGCAACTCAGACTAAACTTTCCATGGTCAAGTTTAGCATGAATAGGCATGAATAAGTATGTGGAAAGAAAGCAAATAAAGCCCACTGTGAAGCATGGTGGAGGATGTGTAGTTCTGGGGGCCCGTTTCTCCTTCAAAGCCCCCAGTAACCTTTTCAGAGTGTTTAATTGAAACTTGCTCATTGTTGCTTCTTTTAGCAGAAAAACAGAAAAATGTCTCACCAGATCAGTCAGTTAGATTATTTCTCAGTCTTCAGACTCTAAAAAAAGCTTTTGGTTTAGCTGGATGACCTGAATCAAATCTCTAAAATGGTTAAAGATCAGAAGAAGTGCTGTCCTGTTGCTAAAATATAGTTTCTTAAAATGTTTTGGTCATTACAAACAGGAGTTTTTTATTTGTTTTTATTTAGGAGGTTGGATGTTTTTTTCAAAATGTTCTGTGTTAGATTATGTTGCTAAAGGCTTAGATTATGCCCTAAACACGTCTTTATGAGGAGTGCCTATACTTGTAGCTGCTGCTGTACAGCCAAACACCATTACCCTTTGGATTTGATGCTGAGAGCCTTTTCTTATGGGCCTTCCCCTCCTGGGAACTCTATTTTCAGTATTTCATTTGTTTCCTCTTATATATTTGTCTCTTTACAACTGAAGCTATACTATCTATATTTGCTCTTCAGTGGATGAATAAACTTGGGTTAAAATCCTGTAGATAAAACGTATGAGAATCCCTTTTCTTACTCTAAATTCCATCCCAGATTTTTTCAGAAAGAAGCCATCATTTAACTTTGAATCCCAAATGGCTACAGGTATAACTTTAGCTATACTCCAGCGACTTTCATGTTTGTGCTGTACACCGTCCCTGTTTAAATAAAGTTTATAATTGATGATGTGTGTTTTGTATCATCGTCTTGTTTGAACAGTTAGTCGGGTTCAAGTTTCAACTGTTAAGTTAATAACTTGAGGTGTTTTTCACCATTATTCTACTATCTTTGCACCACCAGCAGTCAAAGTTCCCTGTTTCTTATGCTGCCACCTCCATGCTTTATACTGTGGTCTGTGTTAGTCTTGTCTTGTCACAGAGGTCAGTTAAGCTTAACAAATGTATGATCTGACCTAAAAAAAAAACAACAACATTCCTCCTGGACTCAATTTGTTGTTCTGTGTGGACACCTGCTAGGCACTCTACTGCAGTCACAGGGCTCCTCCATTTTTATAACCGATACAGGAATTTTAGAGACAAAAATTTTGGACATTTTTCTTCTTTTTCTTTTTATAATATGCAGAGACCAAAAGAAAGCTAAGAACACCTAAACCAGCGGATTAACAAAGTCATTGATTGTAAAAATGGTGGCGCCCTGCATGCCCTTAACAGTTTAGTTTATCTGTTTTAAAGTCTTTTGGAAAGCAACCCGGTTGAGTTCTAGCATTTCTAAAAAGGGTAATAAAATATCCACCCTGAATTTTGCCAGAAACCTGTCGGGTGGCATAAAGAAAGTTTTGGTTGTCCTTCAGTTTGCTGGCTGAGATTTGGCCCCACATATTTGGGGTAATGGGTGTATAATATTTGTCCTTGTGTGCATACTTTTTACACTTTATATAGTGGAAAATTACAACTTAAATGCACCATTAAAATATAATGACAGAGGGGTGCAAATTCCAACTAAGTGATTATTTCCTGGGAAATTAAAAAACACTAAAAAATTAGACTAGTTCAATATAAAGTTACACTAACAAAAAACACATACAGAGAAATTCATAGTTCAAAGGAGAAAAGCTACAACACTGAAAATGAGAGCAACGAAGGAGAAACGCCCTACAAGCACAGAATCTGCTGCAGATACATTAATGATGTTAAAACATAAAACACATGCGTAACCAGGCTAATGAAAGTAGCAAAAACTACAAGTTCAGAAAAGCTGCTCTATGGATGTGCAAGCAGACCAGTAGATGGAGATTATCATTATCATCTCTTATGGGACCAGACCCTTAGTGAAAGTATACACAGGACACTCAGAGACATTAAATGTTTAAAATAGACCTAAAGGGAAACGTGCCTTTCCTTCCTCTTTGATGTCCTCTGCAGGACGTCCCATTTATGTCTTTGATCCCATCCTTAGACTCTTTAATTTGCAGTAACGTCTCTTATTCTGGTCCAGCATGAGTAGATGCCGGTCTCCCCCAAGTTGGAGGCCCCCCATTCTGCAGCAGCAGTTTGTAGCTTTTTTCTTCTTGCAATTGTCTTTACTTCTTACTGCAGACTTTTCTGACATCATTTTATGTAATTGAAATGGGTTTTGTCTTTACAGAGCGTTTCTATTTGCTCTTATTGCAGCTTTTTCTCTTTTGTTTATTATTATTTTTATAATTATTATGTCCTTATCTTATTTTTGTGTTTGCAGAACTTTTTGAATTTGCTGTGAAATTATGTATTTACACAGCCTTTGATCACCTCAGACACAGTTTTAAAAAACCCAAATCGGTAAACGGGGACAAAATTTAAACTTAAACTTCCAACTTGGACTATATTCACTCCTTTTAATCAATATCCCAATCTCTGACAGAATAAAAACAAACGGCAACTTAAATGCATCTGCATAACTATTGCTGGAGTGTAATTCATCTAAAAGCCCCTATCATCCATATGACAAGTGATCAACTTGTAGATAGAGTAGATCTTTATCCATGTCATCAGGCAGCTGTTTTCCTGGAAACCCTCAAGTCTTGGCATGGCTTTGCTACATAACACCATATCAGTACATGGAGCTGTAAACTCCTCCCCACTCCTCTGTTTCCCCCCTTTCAGTTTTATGTCTCAGCTGCAGTGTTGGTTTGGTAAACATAACTAGCTAAATTGGAGCCCAGCATTGCCTCCCACAAGTCAGATTTGCTCATTGATTAAAATCAAACCCAAGTGATCCCGCTGCTTCTTTCTCGCCGTCTGTGCATACAATTAGTTTGCCTGTGCTGATCCAAGTCCCCCCATAGTGCATCCCCATCCCATCAGCCCATGCAGCTCACTGCGTTCAGAACCTGCGTATTTCATTTAATGTTTTTCTTTTTTGATTTTCACCTTTCAGATCTACCAGGAGGACATGATGCGATCGCTTCTTCAGAACTCTCTCCACGTGTTTCACGCCATCAGTGGGATGTCCACAGACCTGAGCTGACCTCAAGAACCGCCACTCTCTTTCCAACACCCACCACTTGTAATGTTTATCTACCCCACCCCTGGCAAGGATGCCATCTGCCTATCTGCTGCATCTCTGAGGAATTTTGGAGAAAAAAAAATTGCATGGTACATGGACTGAATATTCGCTTCACAGGAGCAGTATTTTTCAGAATGTATTAAAAAATCTGGGTTAAATGTGTGCATGTTGGATAAAGCTGATGAATTCCTGACCTTTTTTTTGTTGTGCTTCCTCATTGAAGCTATTCTACGCAATGTCTTTGCTGAGATGCCCTGAGGACCTATGCAGAATCTCTCTATCTCTATGTTTCTTTACTCTTTCTCTCTCTTTCAGTCTCTCATGGACTTTTCCACAGGCGGCAACTTTTTTACCGCATCGTTTAGCTGCACTTCACCATTTCCTTTCATCCCACATTGAATAACAACCAGGTTTGTTGTGACAGGCAGCAAAACCGAAAGCATCACGATGTTATGCAAAGCGCTAGGTTTTTTTAATGTGGCAGTGCATTCCAGGTTAGAAGGATAAGTCACGTACGGAGGGAAAAAGGCTTGCAATGTCTTAAATTTATACCCTTTGCAGTTTATCACTTTTTTTGACATTGTAACTACAAACTTGCTGGTGTTATACCTCTGAAAAGTGGTGACAGATGTTAGGCCTTTAGGGACAGTCTTTACTAGCTTTGTTTACTTGGTTCTTTGCAAAGAAGCTCAGTCAGGTTGTATGGAGGTCAGTTTTCTGCCACACAGTATTTTAGATGTATCCCTGAAACTTCAATTCTAGTCCCATCAAATCCCAGAGAACTTCTATTTTTTCAGAAGCTATAAACAGGACTTAATTAATGGAGCATGCCGCTAATGGGCAGCCTGTCCACAGTTTCTCCCTCTGAGCTGTGGATCCACTGCAGCTCCCCCAGAGTTACCCTTCCCTGCCTTTTGTAGCTGTGCCATACGGCAGAGTTCAAAACTCAGGATATTGTTTTATAGCCTCAGATTTTTCCTACAATTCATTTCTGCCCTCTCTGCTGTGGTCTTCGGTTTTCGTGATGCTGTTTATTTTCTCCAAAGTTCTCTTAAAAAAGTTCTTAAGCTTTCACAGAACAGCTGGATTAATACACATAGATGGACTCCCTTTACTAGGTAGAGGATTTCTGAAGATAATGAATTGCACTGGATGTTATGCTGGCTGTATCAGGCTAATCACAGCAGATTTGTATTTGTTGGTGAAACAAAACTTTTCTTTTCACCATTACACCTTTCAAATAAAATAAATCAACCTTCTAGGCTGTTACATGACAAATGTGGGAAAAATAAAGCAGTAAAAGTTATTCTGTAAGGCACTGTATAGTGAGCATAAAGGGTGGAACGATATTGGGAGTGAAATGTAGGAGATTACAGTATTGTGGCTGATCAAAACGAATTTTGGTTCTTTTAAAAGACAAACTATGCTATAATAATTTTTTAATGCAAGGCAATAAATAGAGACGAATGAAAAAAAAAAAAAAGCAGAACTTTAATTATTTTAAACATTCTTTCCCTTTGAAATCAGGACTATGCACAGCAATAAGCTGTGTGCTAACATTTACTCAACTAATAAGTAAATAAATAGTTCTTCTACTCTGGGTTTAGATCCAGTGCCTTCAAACTCTGCCTTCTGGAAAAAAAAAAAACTAAATAAAACCGTGTCTATCTCAGCTAATATAAACCATCACAAGTCAGTAATTTAAATCATTTCACAAGTGCTACACTGAAACAAGGAGAGAGATGAATATTTAAGCTGATGTGTACATAATTTGTTGACATGATGTAAATTAGATTTGTGTATTCATATATGTATGTATGTACCATATTTTGTAGGTCAGTCCAAAATCTGTCTTAGCAATTTTTCTTTTTTTTAATCTTTTAGTTTTATTTCATTATCTACAAAGGTGCAGCCGCTTGTCAAACTTACTTTGTAAGGCTTTTTTCCCAATAAAACCTGAAAGAGAAATTCTCTGTAATTCTGTCTATTTTTAACATTTGTTTTTGTTGTGGCTTTTCTACATTAGTGGCTTTTACAGGAATAAGAGCAGAGAGATTAAAAATGACATAATTATCCTGGGACAGCTGAGTAGAGGACTACAGCCTCCACAGATGGTGATTTAGGATTTGTAAGCATTGATTACTATACATTCACTATAAAATGGGTAACTGCTAATTATACCATCTAATGGCGCTAATCTAGAGTCATCCACAGTTTAAACATTTAAAATAACAAAACACCTAAAACATAAACTGAATATTCCTACATGATGAAACCATTTTTTAAATTCAAATTTGTGATACATTTATGCATTAGAAAACATAAACAGTTTGTTCACAAATAGTTATCTTATTCCATATTATTATAAAGCTGCTCGCTGGGTCCTGTAATAGGAAATTTATTTTTCATTTTACCTCTAGTTTTAATGCTAGAAAGAGATCTTTATCTGCAGAAGTCACTGCTTCTCTCAGGAAGATAAATGTCTGTAGCATAGCCAGTGTCTTCAAACTTTATATGATTTTAACCCTCTGCTTTTTTACGGTTACCTTACCTTTTACAGTGTTCACTGCAAAAACGATCTAGAAATAAGTTAAAATTTCTTAAATTAAGTGTATTTGAGTAGATAAATGAGATAGTTTGCCAATGGAATCAGTAATTTTACTCTTAAAATAAGATAATTAGATAATATGCACTTGAAATAAGACGATCCAATTGTGTTTTCTTATTTTAAGTGTAAATTGTCTTGTTCCATTGGCAAAATGTCTCTTTTACTTCTTCAATCCAAGAACAAATGCACTTATTTTAAGAAAAAATAACAAATCTTGATTTAGATTTTTTGCAGTGTTGTTTTTATTTAGTTATGTGAACAACTGCTGCCTTTGCTTTAGCTTCTCCCTGGTGCATGGTGAACTTTAATTTTCCAAACTAGAGAGGGGAGGGGATGGTTTCTTGAATTAAATGTGAGTTGAATAGTGTTTGAACAATACAATACATAATGGTAACTTATAAATCTATGCTTCTGGTAAAGGAAGGTGGCAAGAGAAGTTTGGTTCTCAATAAAAGCAACAGAAAAGACGTGTTGTATCCTCTCTGAGTCTGAAGACTTGCATTTCCCATTTGCCCACCTCAGTAAGCAAACAAGCAGCTATCAGGACCCCCTGCTTATTCACGTGGAGTTGGACTTAAAAGATGCCATCATACACCTGCTTTATCAAGCCCACTGGCCTCTACAACAAAACAGGCAGTACTATGATGATAATGTTATTTCATTTCCGAAAACGCTTTAAGCACAATTAAGCCCGACTTTCCGGCCGAGGCCTCAGCAGTCACCTGGATCAAAGAATACCTGACAGAACAGTTTGTGAAATTGTAAGGTTGTGTGTCTCGCCAGGGGATCAGCAGCACAGGAGCACTTTCTTTGTATTATTACATTTTGAGTACAAGACAAAATCCTAACATTTGTTGAACAGCCCAGATGACATGGCAGTTTCTGGGTGTTTGAGAAACTGACAAGAAGCTGAGTAATGAGAGCGTGTAGAGAAACAGGAAAAGGTCATATACTGTCTCTAAAAAGAAAACGTGGAGGAATATAACCACCAACTGGACCAAAGACACAACAGTATCTAGAAAAAGGCTGAGAAAATTTTACATTTCCTGGGGTCCTTCAGTGTTTGCCGCAAGATGCAGCAGATTTTTTTTATCATTCTGCTGTGGTGAATGTAATCCGCTCTGTTGTAAAATGTTTGGGTTGCAGCATCACAGCCCGTACCCTGATCTGTCAAATATAACTGATAAAGGCCTGCTTTAATATTATACTGTTCTAGAAACTCTGACTGTGAGAAAAAGCGTTCTTTGAGAAATGAGGAACAGACCTGACCAACCTTTACATCACAATATTGTACAATAGTCTCTCCACACAGATGCTTTTGTAACACCGTGGAAATACTGATGATCATCCTCTTTTCATTTTTAAATGAAAAATAAATAAATTTGCATGAACAGGAACTTTGATTAATTGGGAAATTCTAGCAGCCAAAGGTCAGAAAATGGTCTATAAGCAAAATTTAATTTGGGAAATATTTTCCACTGACCTCTCATTTGTATAATCCATGACTGGTTGATGGTTTTATGTGTGTTTGTGTTTTGTATTCTCCAGCGAGGGCTAAGTTTGGGGCTAAATTCACATGCAGAGGTTACTTGCTACCACCAGTCTGATTTATGCTGCGAGGTTCTCACATCATTCTGCTAGAGTTAGCAAGTTCTGCATGTGCATGCTTTCTAAAATGTGGGAGGCTAGCTTCTCGTTAGGGTTTAGTGGTTACATCTGACTTTATTACCTCCACAATTCTCTAAATGTTTATATATTTCTCATGACCTTCCTCCTTTTTCTTAATGCTCCTTTCAATCCTCCTTGTTGCACTTCCAACCTTCCAAGTGTCCTGCCTTTATCCCTTGCTTGTTCCTTTCCTTTCCTTCTACTCATTTTGGACAAATGGAAATGTTTCATTGATGTCATTAACTCTGATACTTAACCCAAAACAGCTTTTATCTCACCAAAATAGCTAAATGTAATGAGAAAGAATTGTTAAAGTGATGTAAAATTCATCTATATGATAACTATAGCACCAATCGGGGGGATTTACCATTAAGCAATACTAGGCAAATGGAGGTTCCTCCAACTATTTTAAGTGTCAGTATTTTAATGTTTTTTTTTTTTTTTTCCACACAGCATATTTATTGTAGGATGTTTGCTAATATGGGTGCACACATTTAGTTTTGTTTACACTTGCCTATTTCTGTTTAGTTATTGGTTTTGCAGTAAGCTATTTTCTATTCCCCATTTTATTTATCCCTTCTTCAGGTTTTTGTTTCTTTAGTATAATTTAATAAATAAAATTTTCACTTTAAAGAAAATCCTTGTTTGGTCTCCTCTAATGTTACCCCCACCAAACAAGCCTGGTGGACGTAACAACACCCTATGCACAGTATTTCAAGATAACCAACTGTTTTTCTTTAGCTGAGGTTGATAGAACTTGCTGGGGGAGCAAATATAATGTAACACAAGAAAGTGGAGGAATCCAACGAGCAGCTGACACTTGGGGACTTGACTCTTAAAAATCTGTCAAGCACTCAAAGCTCCACTGTTCTAAAATGCCTTTCGGTGTTTAAATATCTTAGTTAGTAAACCATTAGAAAACAAATGATGCGAAGAGCAGTGATGCTAACTGAGCACTTGTGTTGCTATATTTACCGACTTTTCAGATCCCTCTGGCATTTTTATTTCAAAAAAGTGCCACATCATGTGACTTTTTTTCTGCTACTGGAGACTTTGGCGACAGCTTATAAAAACACTGAACTCCAGAGCAAATAGATTGGTAACCGCGCCTCTTGCTGTCTTCTATCTTGTCTGCTGTCATGATTCATGCAGCTATTATTTCACACTGAAAAATGGAGAACAGATAAGCAGATCATGGCTTGTCTACAGTGAGAAGGACTGTGTTGTTTACTTTTGCCATCACCTTTTTTGGAAACACAGGAAGGAGTGATTGGCTAAGTGAGCTTATTGCTTGGCTGAGTCCAAAACATAGAGAGGAAAAGAACAAAAAAAGGGACAAAACCTAGAACAAATAATGTATATCCTATTAAAATGTCTTTATCTTTATAATGGGTCTGATTTATGTGTTGTCTTCTCAATTCAGGGGGCCCCCTACCTGTCTTTGCCTAGGGCCCAAATTTCCTAAATCCACCCCTGAGGATTTACCAGCTGTAGTGTCCATGATAAACCACCTGATGTGCTTTAACTTAGATCCTGCTGCTCGGAGAAAATGTCCATGAGATTGATTGTATATTGTTTAGACATTTCCCAGCTCTCTTAATGTGTTTTAGCACAAATCCAATACCATACAGATTTTCAGCTTAATGATTCACTGACTCATTAAGCAGCTGACGACTTCCTGGAGGAATGGATGGACACTTGTGTTGGTGATATATGTCACGCATGCGCTACTCCTCCTTGTAGTGTGTTATTTCCCTCCTCCTACATAGTCAAGCAGTGTTTTATTAAACCAATCCTGTGTGGACACAGACTGCCGTTCCTTTCAGACACCTCTGACCCAACCAGACTGTCTGGGATTATTATGTTTCTGTTCTCATTTGGGGTGTTTTACTTCCGCTTATTTTAGGGAATCCTCTGGGCACCTCTCCGCTTATGCCGGCCTGGGACAGGCAGTGATTTCTATTATTTTTTGTTCTTCCTCTCCTACACAAGAGCGCCCGTGAGAAGTCGCGCGGAGAACCGCGGAGACGCTCGAGGACACCATGCGCGCGACGCTTCACTTTCTCACCTTTCTCAGCTCCGCCATCACGATGGCACCCTGCAGAGAAGCAGGTAAAACCAAACATTTCCCTTCCTTTCTCTCTACTTATTGCTTTAAATTTGGGAACCGAGTTCAGTTTAAAGTCTGGCCTAGATTTCACCACCTGTTGTTGCTGTTTTATCATGTCACTGTTCCTTTTATGATTTGAACGCACCTTGCATTTGTTTATTGCAGGGTAATTGCAGGTAATTATTGTACCTGACGCCACCTTCAGTATTAATTAATCTACTTTAGATAATTTCTCTGAGTCTTACTTACGTTTAGAAAACAAGCAAAATAAATGAATGAATGAATAAATAAAAGCGTTAAAATTATTTGGCCATTCAGTGCTTAAATAAAAAGTCTCGTGGTTGAAACTTGGCCGAAATGAGGATGTAGAACACCTATATTGGTTTCAATAAAATTGAATAAAAACGGATTTATTTTTAACTAACTATGATTAGTTTCATGACGCATCCGTTTAAACTGATTTTCAAGAAAACCTTGAGCTCATCTATAAAGCACAAAGTCTTCTTTAAAATCTAAATTAATTTCATCTCTCAATTAGGTAGATTCTGGGAATTTTTATGACAGTTTTCTTAACTTAAACATGGTTTGATTTACTATATTCGAACTCGGAATATGTTATTAAAACATAAACAGATTTTATTTTATTCAATATTTTTTATATAAATAAAAAAAGAATTTAAGGAAAATGTAGATGTGTTCTAAAATTATAGTTTGATATCTCACAGAAAGCCATGTAGGCAAAGAGAAACTTAAAAAGTGGCTTGTTTTCTTATATAATGCCATCCTCTGATCCTTGCTCAAACAGCGCCTCCTATATGATGATCAGATCTGAAAATAAAACTGATTTCGATTTTCTTGACAAGTCATTTAGTTTTCACTCTTTTAAATTGTCGATTAGAAATCCCACCAAATATAAAGTTATGAGTGTCGGTAAAAATAAATATTTAGATAAAAAGGTTTTACTTCAATTTAATGTTCTGTTTTTTTTGAAAAAAAAAAAAAAAGAGCCATACTGAAAAAGAAACATTATTTCGTTTTTAGTTCTGTTCTTGTTTTTGTTTGCATTAATGGTTGTGCTTCATGATTTCTTTTTACTTCAAAGTATAAAATAAAAACATTAAGTTCCACAATAAATAAGTTGTTATTTTTGATTAATATATTTTTCTTTAAAAAAAAAACACGTTTTTATATGAAATTGTGATGAAAATCCCTTAGCTTTCCATGAATACATTTATTTAGCAAGTAATTTTTGCATTTATAAACATAATTTAATGTAATTTACTGTTAACACCAGAAAAAAGATCGAAATGAGTAATATTTCTGTTGAAATTATAGCAGATCCCTGTTAATGTTTCAGCTTGGCCAGTTATTTAGTTTTCACTCTTTTAAATTGTCAATTAGAAATCCCATCAAATACAGAGTTATGAGTGTCAGTAAAAAAAGAAAATAATAATAAAAAAAGGTTGTATTTCAATTTAATGTTTTGTTTTTTGAAAAAAGAAAAAAAGAAAAAAAAAAAGCCCTACTGAAAAAGAAACATTTTTTGGTTTTTAGTTCTGTTCTTGTTTTTGTTTGCATCAAGGGTTGTGCTTTATGATTTCTGTTTACTACAAACAACAGAGTATAAAATAAAAATACTAAGTTCCACACTGGATTAGTTGTTATTGTTGATGAATATATTTTTCTTTAAAAAAAAATAACACGTTTTTATATGAAATTGTGATGAAAATCCCTTAGCCTTCCATGAATACATTTATTTAGCAAGTAATTTGTGCATTTTTAAACATAATCTCATGTAACTTACTGTTAACCCCAGAAAAAAGATCTAAATGCATAATATTTCTGTTGAAATTATAGCAGATCCCTGTTAGTGTTTCAGCTAAAGAGTCTTAACTGTAGATTTTGAACCAGAGCAGATTATAGAAAAACATTGGAGCAACCCTTTATTCTGGCTACAGCTGAAAATGGAGAATCACATACAAAATATTTTTTTCCTACACCTTATCTATCTATGCCAACAGCTGTTTTACTTTATTATAATCGAAAATGTTGTAATATGATGTGGCTGGACTTGTTTATAGTTTTTTGCTGTTTCTGGGTTCTGACAGCAGAACCCAGTTTGTCTAAAAGAGGTTAATGTACTTAAAAGCTGTTTGTGAGTGCGCTCGACACGCCTTTTAGTCAGCTTTTACAACTGCTGATAAAGTGGTGCACCAACTCCAGTGTACAGTAGTAGCACCTTAAAAGTTCCTCTTTTGGCCGAAAGTCAGTGTGGTTTCCAGCCGTTGCTGGCCCCCTTTTTCCTGCTGGAAGTGTCAATGTTTACTGTAACTCCTCCCATTTATTGAAATACAGGGTATTTTAGGTGTACAGTGTGGCAGCCTAGGGGCGCGGCCTCACAGACATCACTGTGGGGGATTACATTGCCTCCACAGACCAGTGGGCTACCAGTGAAGGACTTGCCATGAACCATCACGGAAACAGGGGAACCTTTTAACCGCTACCACTGAATTTCTCAAGTAAAATCAGTTTAACTGGTACCAGATTAATGTCTCTAAACATTAACTTCTAATCACATTTGGAACTTGAAAGCCAGAAAAAAAAATTGTGCCAGGGCTATTTGTTTTATCAAAACCGAAAACATAAAATCTTGGCTGTAAACACACAATAAGGATGTTATTTGGGCCTAAAGGGGTTCTTACAGTTTTATCTGTGCTCTTTTAAGCTCTTTCCAGGATCCTGCCCTCCTTCATCAACACTCACCTTAAAATATAATGTGCTTGAAAGTTTACATACCCTCCCATTAAATAAAATGATAAATTCACACTAGTAATTCAAATAACTAAAAAACTGAAAAGAGTAAGAATAATTAAGGAGTTTTGCTCATGAAGAGTGAACCAACATACCAGTCAACAGATGCAGAAATTATTTCAGTGACTGCCTCAAAGTGTTGCTCAACAACATTTTATTTATTTACTTGTTTAATTTATAAATTTTTGTACATATATATCTATGTATATTTATGTAAGTATGTACAGTATGTATATATATGTGTATGTATGTATATATATATGTATATATGTGTATGTATATAT